AATGGAGAAGGGAAATTTCTATAGAACAAAAGACCCTGACCAGGCCTTAGTATATATTCTGCCATTTAGTGTGGTCATGATGGTTCAATACATCTATGTGCCTGGTGACCACTACATTCATCCTATTGGCCACACTGTTGCTGATTATATAGACATCATCTCCAAAATCATCCCTTCTGGAATCGAACCCTAGGTGCTGATCATTTTATGCTTTCTTGCCATGATTGGGTAGGATTTACCACTACTATATATTTTTTAGATCCATACTCTGTCTCATTTTGATTCTTGTTTTTTAGCTCTGTTGATTTAGATTGAAAATTTTTGAATTTAGTGTTTAAATTGTCCAATCGATGGTTGAGGTTTAAATTGGCGGCCAAGAATTTAAAAGTGGCATTTGTCTAAATATATTTTTGAATTAACTGTCTATTTGGTCCCTGAACTATACTATTTGTATTAATCGAGTCCCTCAACTATATTTTGTGTCAATTTAACCCTTAAACTATGTCATTTGTGTCAATGTGACCCTTCCGTCCAAATTTGTAGTTAACTTTGACGAACTTTCTCACATGTGGATCACGTGATTCGGGGATTAGAGTATAATTTTAGGGGTCACGTGTTGTGCAAGTGAGGAATTTTGTCAAACTTAACAACGAATTTGGACAGAAAGACCATATTGACACAAATGTTATAGTTCAGGGGCTAAATTGATACAAAACATAGTTTAGGAGCTTAATTAACACAAATGGTATAATTTAGATGCTAAATAGATAGTTAACTTTACATTTTTTATCCTGAAAATGTTTGAGAAATGCCATTTTCATCCCTCAGTTACGTATTTTATCAATTGTAAACTAAAGTTTTCAATTCAAGTTTGGATAATTCAAATCGATGACGAGTGTTCAAATGCGATGCAAAGTGAACTATTACATACAGTTTAGCGATTATTATTATATTTTTTGCTATATATTTTGAAAGCTTGCGGATGATTATAAATTTTTTTTAAGCCCAAAACAAGCCGAACTATTTACACTAATTTTTTAAATGAGTCTAACATGAGCTAAGTTTGAGTCAAGTCTTATCCGAGGTGAGCTCAAGTAGTTCGACTCAATTATCAGCCCTACTCTTAAATTGACTGAAGATTAATAGGAATGGGTTGTTCATTTATTTCAGGGGCCATAGTCAACTTCCTATGTTCCCAATTTGTTCAACAATTCCATCAGAGTTTTATGCAATGCCAATTCCTCAGAAGGCTTCAATCCTTTGAAAGATGTTTCATTACCCGAAATTCATCTCAAAACAAGGGAAATCACAGGACTTATTGGTGGTCCATTGCCTTCCGGACGATCAATTCTAGCCTTTTTTGTTGGCCGTTTGCATGATCACATAAGGTACCTTCTCCTAAAACAGTGGAAAGGAAAAGACCAAGACGTTCAAGTTTTCGAGAGTCTTCTAGATGGGTTATCATACAATTCAATGCTGAAGAAGAGTAGATTTTGTTTATGCCCTAGTGGGTATGAAGTTGCGAGCCCTCGGGTTGTCGAGGCAATCTATGCAGAGTGCATTCCTGTTCTAATTTCAGATGGCTATGTTCCACCTTTCAGTGATGTTCTTAATTGGAAGGCATTTTCTATTGTTGTTCCTGTTAAGGACATACACAATATCAAGAAGATACTAATGAGTATATCACAGACTTAGTACGTGAGAATGCATAGGAGAGTGAAGTAAGTGCAAAGGCATTTTGTGATAAATGGACCTCCTAAAAGATTTGATCTTTTTCATATGATTGTTCACTCCATTTGGCTTAGAAGATTGAATATTTGGATTCATGATTGATTACATTCATTCTATTTTGAAATATGACCGTCATCTATACTTATTCCAATTGTACAAAAATTATAGAATCTGTTGGATCTTATCATACCTCTAATACTGATAATGATTACAAAGATTTCAATTTTTTGTTTTCTTTTTTTCCTTCAATTGAATGATTGATGGATATATTAGTCCTTCCCAAAAGGGTAAGCAGGATCCCATCAACTTTTTTCAGTAGAACTCACTCATTCAAGGGATGATATACATTTGAGTTATATTTTTTAAATTTTATTTGAATTGTGTAGTATTTTTCATGGATTGTCACTAGTTTGCCATGCGCGTAAGGTAAATTCTTGAGAGAGAGAGAGAGAGAGTTGAAAAAGAGGGATTTCGATCGCATCAGATACACTTTTTCCCTCATTGGTTTTAAGTGTAGATCATCCATTGTGAATTTAAAATAAGACGCACACACATGCACACACATACTGTAGTTTCATCTACAGTGGGCAATCAAATGTTGTTGTGAACAAAACCCATCACAAAATTCCTCTCGGCATGAGAGCTTTCTCCCTTGGTTAGGGTTTTTCTGAAATTTTATTCTCATTTTTCTTTTCCCGAGGCGGATCTCTTCGTCTTCTCAGCACTATTCACTCCATTTTTATGCTTTCAATTTACCTAACCTCTGTTTACTTCTTCTAGATTGGAACAGTCCACATTCTTCCCTTCTACGCTTTGTCTGTATGTATCACTCCCCCCAAGGTCTCCCCAGGTCTTTCTCTCTCGACATTTTGTTTTCCCGAAGCGGAAGTTCCCATCGGTAAGTGTTTTGTGATGAATATACCTTATCGTCTTTCTATCTTCTTCCCCCTTCTTTGCTGCTCCATCTCTTTACCATTACTACATTATCCTACCACCACAGTGTTCCTCAATTGCATCTCCTCCTTGCCTTTGTTCGTTTTTTGCCATTATTAAGCTACCTTCTTTTGTCTTACCCTTGTTATAGACGCAAAAATCCTAAACCCCCAAAATACCAAAACCTCAATCCCCTTCCTGCACTCCCTCTCACCCTATTTCTTTCTCTGTTCTTTCTATTTCTTCACTTCTCCTGTAGCTTTTACTATTTATTCCTACATATGGAGAAAGACCTAGAAGTTGATTCTCATCCGTCCCATCAACCACGAATCTCTCTCTACTCTGATCCCTCCACCTCAAAGATGATAGGAAAATACTGCCTAGTGGGCCGGTTTTTCACAGATTCTACCCTAAATAAGCAAGGGGTTTGTACTGTGCTGTAGAGTTCTTGGAAGACATCCAAAGGTTTTTCCATCATCTATTGGGAAAGAAATACCTACATGTTTATGTTCAAAGATGAGGATGATAGAGACAAGATTTTAAATGAAGGTCCATGGTCCATTTCAGGAGCATTGTTGGTTCTGAAGGTGTATCAACCACAGTTTATCATTGGAGATTTCAATTTCCACTTAGCCGAATTCTAAGTTCAGATTTGGGGCTTACCCCTCGATATGATGGCAAAAAATAATGCTTGGAGAGGGGGAATGATTATTGGTGAGCCTACCCAACTCGAGAAATTTGAGGGGGAAGTTCAAATCCAGTAAAGCTTTCTGAGGGCGAAGTGTAGGATCAACTTGAATGAACCTTTGAAAAAGGGTTTTTTCTTGACTCGGGACAATCAAGATGATATCTGGATTAGTCTAAAATTTGAGAGATTGTCTTATTTTTGTTACCAATGTGGTTGGGTTGGCCATTCTCAAAGTCATTGTAAGGACAGGAGGGCGTCTAGGGCCAATAGTTACTTTGGGCCGGAGCTACGAGCGCAATCCACTCAATCGGGGGGCTTCTTCAGAGAAACTTAGTCCCTAAGAGAATGCGAGACATCGAAGAAGAAGGATAAGCTCAAAGGTAAAATGTAGGAAACTGATGGAGATGTTGAACCAAGAAAGCAGAGGGGTTAGGAAGGGAGCAGGAAAGTTAGTGGAGAATCATCTGAGACACCTATCAATGGGGAGGACGATGTGTTGAGATCCCATGTCAGAAACGAGGTTAATATCAGTCTGAAACAGAAAAAAACGGATCACAGAGCCATACATCACCCCTCCCAATGGTACCTTATGCTGGTGGGGACCAAGATTGGGATCTGTCCTTATCCCTATCTTTGTCTTTTTTTCAAGTAGACCCAAATACACTTGTAACAACCAAGAGGGGATCCTACTATGTTTATGAGCCCACAAAGAGTCCAGAAGCCCAAAAGGTTAATGAAAAAGTGGTCTACATAATCACTGATAGTGAGGAGGAGGATAGGGGTGTTGATATGGAGACCCATTTCCAAAGTATGTCGTTTAAGAGGAAAGTCCAGCTGGATGATAAGACTATGGAAGCCCACCCAATACCATGGAAAAAACTTAAAGTATTTTCGGACAGTGGTCCAAGTGCACCTCACATCTCGCTACCTTTTTTCGGCCCCCCACTTGCTATTGATATGTCCCTTGTTAACTTTGGAAGGAAGCATGCTTTAAGAAAACGGGCTATGAGAAGCAAGCCTAAGAAGAAGGTGAGTAGAGAAAGCCTGATGTACTCTGAAGCACAATTTGCCTATCTTGAGAATAAAAAGGAACAAATGTAACATGATTTGGATGAGGACTATAATGGTCTCACTGAAGGGAAAGGTGAGAATAACCTTGATAGATGTATATCTTTGTGGATTGCTCAACCCTCTAGGAAAACATCTGATGAGGGTGATGAATCTAGTCGTGCTGATAAGGTGGCGGTGGCTGACCTCAAGCAGCCACACGATTCATGTTGATGCTTACCTGGAACTGTCAAGGAGTAGGGCGACCCTGGATAATCCGTAATCTTAGAGGGCTTATCACTACCCATCGCCTCTCAATCGTCTTTCTTATGGAGACTAAAAATAAGTTTGATAAGTTGGAGTGGTTGAGAAGAAATTTAAATTTTCCACGTTTTGAGTATGTGGATCATGTGGGCCTTTCTAGCGGACTTGCTTTATGGTGGAAGGAGGAAACCAACCTGCTGGTTTTGGATAAATCCAAAAATCTGATCAACGTAAGAGATAGACTTAATCATCAGCATGATTTTTGGCACTGCACCTTTGTCTATACAGACCTGTTGGCTGAAAGAAGGAAGAAGATATGGGAGCGGTTGACCGATATGACAAGGTCCATCGATTTGCCCTGGTTAGTTGCAGGGGATTTCAATAACATTGGATCACTGGATGATAAAGAGGGGGGCGCTATTAGTAGCATAAGGAGAGTAGAGGAATTGCAATAGTTGATTTCAGACTACTGCCTCATTGAGATGTGTTTTAGTGGACCCAAATTTACATGGTCAAACAACAGGCCAGGTGCAGCCAATGTTCAAGAACGGATTGATAGAGTAATGGTTAATTTAGACTGGAGTGCCCTCTTCCCCTTAACTGCGGTGCTGCATGAAACTAGGATGGGGTCTGACCACTGTCCCATTGTGATTAATCTTGGCTTAAATGCTAAAAAGGCCCCCCATTCCTTTAAATTTGAAAGTATGTGGCTGCAGGACCCTGAGTGTGAAGAAGTGATTAAAAGTAACTAGATTGTGAGAGATTCAACCTCTATGTTCTGTAATACCATCAGCAATCTTAAGTCGTGCAGAACCCATCTTTTGGAGTGGAGCAGACAGAAGTTTGGTAATAATAAGAGCTTGATTCAATGCTTAACAACGAACTGCTCTGTATTCAAATGCTGGAGCCTTTAGAGGAAAATCTTATTGAGGAAGCATATCTTTGTGCCCAGATTGATGGAGTAAGATGCAAAGAATAGAAGTACTGGTAGCAACGTTCAAGGGTCAATTGGTCGAAAGATGGGGATCAAAACACCAGCTTTTCCACTTGTCTACCATTCAAAGAAGAAATTACAATCAGATTGTCAGGCTCAAGACTGACGAAGCGGCATGGATTGAGGAGGGGGAGGAGATCAACTCCCATATCACTAATTATTTCCAGAACCTATTTAGATCAATGGGGGAAAGAGACTGGTCTGAGGCACTAGGGGTTGTACATGTTAAAGTCACAGAGGAAATGAACAGTGCTTTGCTTAAGGTTATTCATGATCTGGAAGTGCATAAAGCTGCAATGGAGCTAGGTGCCTTGAAAGCCCTTGACCCATATGGTTTCCTAGGCATCTTCTTCCAAAAATTCTGGCATATGGTGGGAATGATATTATTAAAATGGTTAAAGACTTTTTCGAAGGAGGTCAACTGAACAGGGATATTAATTTTACAAATGTTGTCCTTATCCCAAAAGAAGCTACTCCTGAAACCATTACACAGTTCAGACCAATTGCACTATGTAACTTTCTGTACAAGGTGATATCAAAAGTTATGGCCAATAGTTTTAAAGGAATGTTGTGTTCCATCATTTTCCAAACCAAGCTGCCTTTGTCCCAAACAAACAAATCCAGGATAGTATTGAAATTGCCAACGAAGTGTTCCACCACCTGAAAGGAAAGAAAAAAGGGGAAGTGCCTAAAATAGCCATTAAAATAGGCATAAGTAAGGCTTATGACAGGGTTGAATGGGATTTCTTGGAAGCAACAATGTTAAAGCTGGGCTTTACTCGAAGCTGAGTTAGCCTCATTATGCAATGCATCAGTACTGTCACCCTACAATTTGTGCTTAATGGAAAGAAAATCGGTATAGTTATGCCCCAGAGGGGAATCAGGCAGGGGGATCCCCTCTCCCCTTATCTTTTTCTCTTAGTTGCTGACGTTCTCTCAGCGATGCTTTGGAAGGGGGTTAACGATAGAAAACTAGTGGGAATCAAGATCAAAAGAAGGAGTTCAATGATCTCACACCTCTTCTTTGCTGATGACTCC